CGCGGAGTTCGGTCAAGCCGTCAAGGGCGGTAAAGGCACTTTCCGCATGTGCTAGGTACAAAATTTTACCTATGAGCATCTACATCTCCAAAAAAAGGCATTGATAAAAATAATTAATGAATCAGATTAATTAATGAAATAAGATTAAATTCAGAAATGATCAAAAATCCATTTTCTGGAAAAGAAAGGAATTTTGATTATAAATATCAAATTCTACTTTACCGCACACTTTGTAGTCCACTTTACCGCATACTATGCTGTAAAGTTAACTTTACTGCACACTATGCTGTAAAGTTAACTTCACCGCATAGTGTGCGGTAAAGTGATACTTTCCATTTTCAAATACGTGCGGTAAAGTGCACTTTACCGCACGCTCGTAGGTGAAAAAATTTTACAGTTTAGCTGTCAATTTTACAAGTCAGTAGAGCCAGTAACTCGTAAAAATCAATTTTCGTTGTTTATGTTTTGACTTGATAAATGACGTTTTACAAATGAGTGACAAATAAATGCGTTTACCGCACTTAACGACTGCCGTTGCGTGCGGTAAAGTATCATTTACTGCATTTGTTAGGTGAATAACTATCATTTTTGTTATTTTATTTTATCTGCTAGGCTAGGATAGCTTTCATTCACCCTTTTTGTAACTTGTTGAAATTTCTTTTCTTCTGAAATTCTTAATAATTTTAATAATTTGTCAAAACTTTATAATCAATAATTGACTGTCCTTATTTTAAACCCATTTGTGAGTTAGGTAGTGGCGTTGTAAATTAAAATAATTACTATGAACTATGACCATGATCATGACCGTCATGATTTTATATGACCGTCATTTTACATCACTGATTCTTGCTGTATTTACCTATTTTATTACTACTTTATTATTTTATTATTATTATTATTTTTTTTTTTTGAATTATTTAATTGTTTTTTTTTATAAAAATATTTTTCTAATTTGCAATAGTTGCTCATACCTGATTCTGTTGGAAAGGAGTATCTGCACTGCTATGCTTTTTGAGACCCGCCAATATCTTTATATAATACTTAATTCTTGAAACCGAAGGAAACATAAGAAACTGTAGAGGAAAGAGCCATACAGTGGAAAGATTGAAACGCCAATTTAAATTCAGTTCTGGGCGGAGTTCCCGAGAGGAAGTAAGAGAGACTTTCATCCCTTGTATACAACGGGGATCAGCCGCCATATACATGTTATCCGTGAAAAGGCTCAATCAAGAAGGTATAGAAAAAGAAATCGGTGTGCGGACGAACACATCTAGGAATGCAATTATCCCAAGAATGGCTCTTTCCATTGAAATCACCGTTATTCCCCAAAGAACCACCCGACTCTAGTTCCTCCCCACCATGCCTGTTTCAATAGAGTGGTAGGCAGCAGCCTGTCCAATGGATTTCCCCCGACGGACAACAGAAATCACTTAAACAAAAGTTGGTGCAACTCGTATAAAGGAAAACTTGAGATAACTTCATCCCGGACCAATGGCACGCGGTAAATCAAGAATCAATTTTTAAATTTTTGGTTGTTCTTCAGAAAAGGCAAAGCCTTCACTGGAGAAAGGTAATCTAGCCCTCAACCACTCTCCATAACAGGCGACAGCAGCAATAGCAAAACAGCACAGTTCGCACAACAACAGAAAAAGTTAAATAAAAAAAATTAAATAAAAGGCAAGAAAAGTGAATGTAATCATAAGATTGAATGAATCGGTATAATTTTGTATAATTTAAGACAATGCAATAAGACCAGAAAAACTAGGTAATGAAAAGATAAAAGATGAGGTCTTGAAAAAAACAGAACATGAGGGAAGTGATATGAGTGAGATTAGTAAAGTTAAGGGATGAGTGAATGACAGTGACATGGTATGAATTAAGAATTCAAATCAATTAAGATACTAAAATAACTCTTGACGTCATATACATCAATTAAACAGATACATCGATTAGACAGAGATAAAAGCAACTATATGCATGACATGTTTTAGCTATCGTTTATCTTGTTTTTTCCAACCCGAGTTATGTAATCAACCCAAACTCGATTTACCCGATGTACGGTTCCAACCGTAAGCCACCAGTCCACCCACCGTAGACCCTCAATCTGACGTTAGCCGTTAGTCGCAGTCGGCGTGAATTATTAAATTAATAAATAGTAGGAGGATCAATTCTAATTGTACCGTTCATTGTTATCAGAACATTTGTAATAAATTTTTGAAAATTCCTTTCTTCGAGTAAATTATTTAATTCCCCTTCTGATTTATTCTAACTTTTTTAATATCGTATGCCTTTGTTCTGGAGTCGGTCCTGCTGTAGCTGTTTGTTGTCGTCTTGCTGGAAAACTTTCTACTTCCTACTCTTCAGAACTAAACCCTAATTGTAACAAAAATCCTGACGAAACTAGTTTTGTTACGCTTCGAATCACTCGAAGTAGGCCTAATTATATCTCTATAACTGATCAAAGTAACTGTCTGATTATCGACTATCGACTGTTTCGCCCTGGCCTGGCCGACTCCCTTCTATATAAACTAGATTTTTCTCCGATTTTCTAGATACCTACCTAATTGCCTTCTAGGATTTTTCGATAAAGATCAAATCAAATCAAAAAGTAATTTATTTCCTACTGAACTATTATAACCATATAAATACCTTGGTTACAATTATCATAAACAGGGTCTTAACTCCCAAGGAAGTTAAGGATTTCCATAACTCCCGCTTTTAATTCCCGTTTTTACCTTGAATAGGTAAAACTTTGACAAAAAATAGAAGCTTTGGTTTGTGGTTTATTCCTTCATAAAAATGGACAAAATACAGTAAATTCAGTAGGAAATAAAATTATCTATGTACCACGGGAATTCTCAGGTGAGGTGTTAATACCCACGGGCAATTGGTGTCCCTCGGGCCGCAGGCCCTCGGGACACAAGCTTTGCCCTGGGGTATTAAGACCCTCATAATTCCCTTGATACATAAATAATATTATTGTCCAGAAAAAAAAAATTATTCGCAAAATATATCAACTTAAATAAATCAGTCAAGAGTAACTCTCTTACCCCCTTTCTAAACCTCCCGTATGAACGTGAAGAAATAACGTTAGATGGTAGAAAATTGAAGGCTTTCTTGGCAAAATAAACAAGAGACTTGTTCACCAAGGTTCTCCTGGGAATTGGCAGTAGGATATTATTAGCTTGCCTAGTGGAATAGTGCCTCACCGAAGAAAATTGGTCATAGTATTAGTATTTCCTGTATATCAGGCAAACACTTTCGAATTATGTATAAGCGTAGCACAGTTAAAATTCTATGGGAAATAAAGCTATGTTTGCAAGATTGTCGGACGGGAACTCTGAGCATATTCCAAAGGGCTCTTTTTTGTAAATTCAATATGTTGAAATTAGTAGTACTGCAACAGCCACAAAATGCAATCCCATAGGTGATGTGTGACTCCGCCAGAGAAAAATATGCGGTCCTTAGAGCTCTCAGCTCTTAACTGTTCTGAGAGTGCTCTCAAAGTATAACAGCTATGTGATAACCTATCAGAGAGTGCCACAATATGCTGCTCAAATTCGAGACTTTCGTCCACTGTAACTCCAAGAAACTTAGCACAGGCGGTGGAATGAATAAAATCACCACAAAGGAAGGAGATGTTGGATAACGAGCACTTGAAGTTCAATATATTAGTCTTAACTGTGTTGAAGGATAGATTGTTGCTGTCGCACCAGGTTTGTATTAAATCTAAATCGACAGTAACCATGCATTCCAAAAATTCTCCACTGTTCGCATGCCAAACAATGGACGTGTCGTCAGTTGTTGCTCATTTTATTCGAAAACCCGCTCCTATATAAAACTACTTGCTGAGGATCACTTAAGTACGACTGAAACCAATTTAGAGTCACACCTCTAAAATCATACGCTTCAAGCTTTTGGACGCATGATCGACACAGTTGAAAGCCTACGACAAGTCACAAAATACCGCTGCTGAAATATGATCCTCATTTGTACTCAAATAGATATCTTTCAGAAGAGAGATGTTCTTTCGCCACACTGGAAACCGAATTGATTATCGGATAGAGACCTGTTTAGATTGAGGGATGAAAGAACACTGCATGTTTAAGGCTATTAGTAAATATACCCTTATCAAATTAATCATTCATTGCATCTCCAAGCGAACGAAAACCTCTATGGGGTAATAGTTTAATGAATATGTGATCATAGACCGAGGAATTTTTGCTTTTGAAGGGTTTCTCGAATCTCAGGAACATCGGCTGTTACCAAAAGAAAAAATTTGAGATATTCTTGCCTGTCGAATAGTCTAAGGATATCAATTCTCGATCGCTAGGGTAGATCGTTAGATTATTCTATTAAGGTTAAATTTTAACATCGAAACCTCTGATTGGCATGGTCAAGTATACGAGGATATAGACTTCTTAGGGCCGGTTTCTCAATAGCGAGTGACCTCCGGGTTGGTTTTAACTCCAGGCTGAGCGTGTCCAGTTGCATTGTTTACCCTGGAGTTAAAACCAACCCAGAGGTCACTCGCTGTTGAGAAACCGGCACTCATTGGGGAGAAACTCCACGCATTCTTGCCAGATTGTCCACAATTTACTAATTATTCCGAATAATTTTGTGGAAATTTCGCAGATATTGTACATGAATAAATTTTAGAGTTTGTTAAAAGGAGATTAAACTCAATTTTAATATATTTTTCATATGGGGAACTTTATGCAAAATTGCTGAACTAACTAGAATTATTATTTGTATTTTAAAATTTAAAGACAAGTGCTAGACGCACGTGTCAAAGTGTTGCAATTTTGAATGTGCCTATTCACCACAAAAAAAAAATACACTCGCCTCAAAACCCAATTAAAATTGAATGGAAATATAGATCTTTCGGGCTTTTAACTACTAATGAGCATCTCGGACATAAATAGATTTTCGAGTGCTGCAAATTCACGAAGTAAATCATGCACCAAATAGTATTTCTATTATATCGCTCTAATTTTCAGGAACTGAATTTAAACGAAACCCCGACGATTTTAACTATTCTCGACAATGTTTGGAGCCCCATTTCACCAACCCACGGTGATGTTCTAGTATGTGTTGGCTACAAAAACCATTGGGACATGATAAATGGAAAAACGGGTCAATCACAGCATATTTATACTGTAGAAGGCAACAGAGCTCATTTAGTGGCTGCGCTGGATTTATATGAGGACCAAGAGATTCAGTTAATGTTGTGCTATAACCGTATGTATTTTTATATAAATTATTATATAGAGGCAGATGCCGAGTTCGATTATTTATTCCCTATGAATACGCGATCTGAATCAAGCCAAACAACTGGTTGCTAAAAATAAGTTCTATTCAAGCTCAGACTAATTTACACATTCTGCTGAGATTTGTCTAATTCGCTTTGGCTCAAATACTCCAAATCTGACTCGCGGCGTTGATAATTTTAGCAGAAGACGTGGAAGATAGAGGTTAAATTTTTCATCGTTATAGTCGTGATATGATAGTAAGCGGCAAATATATTTATGCATCGCGCCCTTCAGTAAACTATTTCGTATCATAGATAGATGTAATGAGTCAGTGACGATAATTTCGACCTTTGGGATCGTTTAATTTTTATCGATTATTACTTAATCCACAAATGCCAAAATACAACTTTTTTCCTGCAGTTATTTGACTGACGGCCCGCACAGATAATGGTTCAACACAAGTTCTGTTGAACTGCAGTTCACTGTTGAACGTGGTTCAGAGTTTTGGGTGTTGTACCACTGCAGGTTCACCTGAACTATCAGTTGCAATGCCCACAATAAAGAAAAGGAAGACAAAAGCACAACCTAACCCATAACCTATCAATCGCCGAGCCTAAGGCTCGGTTGTACAACGGACGTTCAAGCGAAGTTCACACTGACTAGTGGTTCAAAAGAAAAAACTTGTTGTATATTCTTTGGTTGTATGTAAATTATATTTGATGAAACAGGTTAACTCCCACCTCTATTTATTGATTTTAGTTGAAGTGTTTTACCAGCAATTGATTTTATATTTTGAAATTATTCAACACTTGATTTTCGACCTCACTCTGAAATATACGCTAATTTAATTTGAAACTTATCTAATTGTTTTATTGGTTTACCTATGTCAACATTTGGTTGAGTTATGTGCCTTATTTATTTCCTTTTCAGAGTTATCCATTACCATCTGAAGATTATTTTTTTTAGGTGTGTTTCTAAAATTTCACTCTTCCATATTTTATGTAATTTGATTTTTTTTTTAATTCAGTGGCACCCTTGCCATTCTGTACTTATTAAGTATCAAACTCCCCTAATAATTATTCGCTGAGCAAACCGAGCATATTATGGACTTCTTGTTAATTCATTAACAAAAGTGGTTACAAGTAGAATGTTTTCACAGCTATCAGAACAATGCCCACCTCTACTACGTAGAAACCGTCCTCCAGCACAGCCATCATACCACTATCCACCTCTACTGTAAACCCTCTTCTGTAAAGCCCTCCATTGATCCATTTACAAAAGGCCCTTACCCTGAAGAGGCACTTTTTTATATCCCTCCACTTTCCACAACCTCGAGCCCCACAGGCATTCAGAAATCGAATGGATTATTGAATATTTGGAATGATAAAGAATAATTAAAGGAAAGATTCAGGTTAGAGAAACAAGCTGTGAGATTTATCATGGATTAAATTTTGCATCTGTGATCTGTCCTAGGTGCAACAAAAAATAAACAAAAACTTTGATAGGTTATGGGTTAGGTTCTGCCTACTTCTTCCTTCTCTTTATTGTGGGCATTGCAACTGAGAGTTCAGGTGAACCTGCAGTGGCACAAGTTCGTACAACACTCGAAACTCTGAACCACGTTCAACAGTGAACTGCAGTTCAACAGAACTTGTATTGGACCATGATTTGTACAACCGGGCTTAAGTTTGATGGGTTATGGGTCAGGTTGTGCCTATTTTCTTCCTTCTTTTTATTGTGTGCATTGCAACAGATAGTTCAGCTGCACCTGCAGTGGTACAACACTCGAAACTCCTGAACCACGTTCAACAGTGAACTGCAGTTCAACAGAACTTCTGTTGAACCATTATTTGTACAACCGGGCCTTAGCTTTGATGGTAAACTGGCCGGTTTCGCTGGGCCGATTCTGGCATGCCTATCTCACGTTTTTCCACGCTATGGTCACAAATAATTTTATTTTCAGATACGTGCCATTTCCAAAAACTAAATGAAAGCAGTGATAAGACATCGACCGATTTCGATTTTCATTGGAACTCTGCACCAACAGATATCGGTAATAATAATCAAATACTCTGTCCTTTTCCAATGCATAAAATATTCAATATTATATTAACTTATTTTTTTTTTAGTTTGTGCATTTCCCTATATCATCGCTTTTACGTCGAACACAATGGAAATTCGCCTAGTCGTTAACGGCAATTTGATACACACAATGAGCATGCCAAAGTTGCAACTGATCACCAGCAAGAACGACATATTTTTCGCTACGACAGCTCCAGAATTTTTCCCGAACAGAACTGACAGACTGTTCGTCGATATGCGACAGCAGGAGTTGCAAAAAATATCACCACCGTCTAGCCCGAATGGTATAAATTTAACTATGTTTTGTATAAAAGTGTATGAAAATTAGTGCAGGACAAGAGGAATAAAAAAAACCCTTTGCAAATTTTTGTATTTAATGCTGAGGGTAGGTATATTACAGGCTGGTATTCTTCACCGAATAAGGTGAGTGGATAACGCTATGGCGTGAAACGGAAAATACGGGAATCCATTACCTATTCAATTTACAAGTTTCCGGAAAGAAAATAAACTGCTTGTATTCCATAGAGCGAACGAAAGAAATATTCGAGAGCTCTCAAAAACTTGTCCTAGTTACGGTGCAAGGTGTCTTAGCCCTTATTCGAAGGTGATTTTTACCGATTGTAGGCTTGTCTCTTCGCTCGTCGATGGATGGATGATGAATCTTCACTCCTTGGGATTTTCATTTCGAGTAATTTGCTGAAGACATCAGATTTTACCAAGTGGCCCTGGCTAGTCAATATGGATACACCCATGCCATGCGGGTGTGCCCAGTCGTCTTGTTTAATTGCAAAATAACACTCACCTTTATCAGGACGTAAACCATTTTTTGTAAATACATTAGGTACCTATATAACGTACTTAACTTAACCCGAATTTACACTTGAGTCGATTGAAACGAACATTGACACGTTTAGCTCTGTCTAACACTGCTTCCAGTCTTTTGGCGTGTTCTTCTTTATTCGCTGCCCAGACTATAACATTATCTATGTAAATTTCCACTCCTGGAAGTCCATCTAAAATATTCCTGAATGTACGATGAAAAACTTCTGGCGCAGAGCACAGTCCATAAGGCATTCTCCTATAACAATATCGCCCATAACACCCAGCATTAAATATTGTAAGTATTTCACTTTCTTCATGCAACTTGATCTGATAGAAGCCCTTATTGCCGTCCAGTATTGAAAAAATATTTGCCCCTTCCATCTTGGATGCAATTTCCTCGGAAGTTGGAATCTGATACCACTCACGTACTATGGCTTTATTCAGATTTTGTGGGTCTAAACAATTCGAAAACTATTGTCTGGCTTTTTTACAATGACCATAGAACTGCACCACTCAGTTGGTTCAGTCACTTTTCTCAAAACGCCCATTTTCTCCATTTTATCTAGCTCACTTTTAACTGACTGCTGAAGGCTGATTGCAATTTTTCTTGGAGGTTCTACAACTGGCTCTACCTTTTTCTTCAACTGAATTTTATATGAATTTGTCAATTCACCACTGCCTTGAAAAATATGGTCGTATTTTTTACTAGACTATCAATCACATATTTGTCTTCCTGTTCTACCGATCCTACTCTCTTTAGCAGATTAAACATCTCAATAAATGGAAGACCAATGGACCTTTCTCATTTTACCTGTGCTGCGCGCGCCGCTTGTGGGTGACAGATAATAAAATTGTCAATTGAATGATCGGAACGCGGTCAGACCCTGACGTTTTTTAAGTTAACCTCAATAATCAATAAATATTGCTGCAAATTATTACAAAAACTGTTTATTTTACGATGGTTCAAATGTGTTGTGTAAGATCTTGTCAGAATAAGGCGAAACAGAAGTCAAACCTTTCTTTTCACAAGTTCCCAAGCAATCAAATTGTAAGAAAACAATGGTTACATGCTCTCAACCTGACTGAAGACGATCAAAGTTTGAACAGAGATTTGAGGGTTCGTGAAATAACGATTTCTATATCAATACAATAATAATTGTACAATTAAAGGTTTGCTAGCACTTGGAAATTCGTTTTTCTCGAACTTTTCCAAACTTTTTCACCACATATTTATCATATTTACGTTTAAAAATAAACAAAAACAAAAACATAACCGAAATTGCACAATTTGACAAGTGGAACCAATCAAAGTCATTCCACACAGGTATCGCGCGTCATTATATGTGTCTCTTTCTTTATTGCAGAAATCTTAATAAACTATCCTTGTTGTTCATTGCATGAGAAAGGTCCATTATGCATGGAGCATTGAAGTTGACTACAATGAACACTACCTTGTGTTTTTTATTATTAGTTTCACAGATAAGTGTAGTTTGTCCATATACACCCATTAAAGAGCCTTCATAGTTCAATAGCTTTGTATTTGATGACTGAACTTCAACATTAAGTTTTTTAGCAGTTCTCAAGTTCAAAACATTAACATCAGCACCAGTCTCCATTTTGAAACAAATTTCCTTATTATTGACCATTACTTTTTGCATCCAGCCAACTAAACCTACTTGTCCTACTTTCTGAACTGTGCCTAAACATTTCCTGCTCTTCATCATCAGCTTCTACTGAATATACATTTTGAGTCATGTTCCTTTTTTCACGATAGTACTTTTGAAAATGACCAAACTTGTTACATGCTTTACATTGTCTTCTATATGCGGGACATCTTGAACCATGAAAATATCCACAATTGCCACACTGTTTTTTATCAACTCTATTTTCTGAGTTTGGTCTAAAGCTATTTCCACTTTGATTTCGGGCTTCATATTGATCTTTCTATGAAGTAAACTCTATGTATTCTGTGTTGTTCTGATTTTTGTGCTTTCTTCACAATATTAACATTTTTCTCAATTTCTAGGTTTTTTGATTGAAGTTCAGCTAACTCCGACGCTCTACAGATATTCACACATTTTGTCAAATCTAATTGAGGCTCTCTCAGCAACTTATCTCTTACTTTAGTGTACTCTATTCCACATACAATCCTATCTCTAACCAAACTATCTCGCAGATCTCCAAAATTCCAATTTTGGCTTAGTTTTCTTAAGTCAGTCACAAACATATCAACACTAACCTTGTAACTGCTTTCTAGTAGGTATGAAATAGGTGTTGATTAACAGTCTTATTTTCTTTTGGTTTGAAATGTACTTCAAAATGATGTAATAATAATGCAGCTTTCCTTTCAGCTGTTACCTTTGTATTATCTTTCAAACCAGCCATCCATATAAATGGTGAATTGCTGTTTCCATTTTTTAAAATTTGTGGGGATATCACCCTCAAGAAACATTTCCTTGAGTTGTCGTAAAGTTTCCATCTTATTTTAATTAGGAAACGTGGGGCTAAGAACGAATTTGACTTAACTTTCTTTACGACGAAATACTCACGTATTTTGTAAAAAATTCTTCTTCACAACTTATCCTGTCCGCAGCGCCATGTAAGGTTCGGACATTTGGAATAAACGAAATATAGTTTCAAAGATTTATTTCAAGCTCGACTGTACTCAATCCGTCACTTTATCTTACTTATACACCACATATTACTGGTAACTACCTGACATACACCACGTCGGGGACTCGTCGTGTCCTATAGTATAGGTTTTCGTTTTCCCCTCTGCTACTTCATACGTTGCCAAGGTTCATTGAGTTGTCGGGCAGTACTCGATTAACCGAGTCAAAAGCTTTGACAAGGTCTATAAATTTCATATACCTACAGAGGTTTGTTGCAAAAGGCCAAAGGAAGAATTCGATTGTGGAGAATTGGATTAGAATTTTTCCAGCTGTCGAGACCAGTGGCCTTGGTAATTTCCACACTAGGTGGAGTGTGTTTTCTATCTTCAGATCTCTGGGGTTCATAATGTTCCATATTTGGGCAATAAATTAATGTGAGGAACTTTGTTGTCATGCACGTGCGAGTCCGTTCAGGAATTCCTGGAACTGCTTTTCCATCAGAACCTAACAGAAGCTGGATCTTTGAGAAGCTGAATATCATCTTCAGATCTCAGGGGATGTGGACCACTACTTGTAGAGAGATTCAACATAGGTTTCTTTGGTGAAAATAAAAGCTGATGAATGGTCCAGTTCGATTTGCTCCGTAATTAATTTTTCCTACAGCCGTGCGGAAAAATCGATTTTCCGCACTGATATGCGTGCGGAAAATGAGTTTTCCCGCACGGTGCGGTAAAACTTTTACCGCACGCATATCAGTGCGGAAAAAGTTTTTCCGCACGGCTGTCAGTGCGGAAAAAATTTTACCGCACTGATCTGTCAAAAAAAAAAAAAAAAATTACATTTTTATGCCTGTAGGAAAAATATTGTACCTAACACTTGCGGAAAAATTCATTTTCCGCACTTGTTAGGTAAATAGCTATTACCTACGAGCGTGCGGTAAAGTGCACTTTACCGCACGTATTTGCAAATGGAAAGTAGCACTTTACCGCACACTATGCGGTAAAGTTAACTTTACAGCATAGTGTGCGGTAAAGTGGACTACAAAGTGTCGGTAAAGTGGACTACATAGTGTGCGGTAAAGTAGAATTTGATATTTATAATCAAAAATCCTTTTTTTTCCAGAAAATGGATTTTTGATAATTTCTAAATCTAATTTAATTTCATTAATTAATCTGATTCAATAATTAATTTTATCAATGCCCTTTTTTGGAGATGTAGATGCTCATAGGTAAAATTTTGTACCTAACACATGCGGAAAGTGCCTTTACCGCCCTTAACGGCTTGACCGAACTCCGCTTCGCGTCGTTCGGTCAACTGCCGTTGCGTGCGGTAAAGTATCACTTTCCGCATTTGTTAGGTAAATAACTATTTCAGGATCCTTGTTCTTCTTTGCACTTCAGCCTTTTCTTCAAAATAAGTTCGTTTCTTGAGAGCTGAATTTGGGTCGTTTTGCCAGACGTTACCTGTCCTCTGATCTATTTTATTTTGAATTTCTATAATGTTCTCTACGCCTGTTGGTTCTTCGCGAGCTGATAGCATGGCTGTTTTAAGCATTGAATAGTGATAATCGAGATATCTAGCCGACAATTTCTCATTTCATAGGTGCTGGAAGTTTGTTTTAGTGTCTTCCCTCAAGATTTAATCTGCGTTGTGGTTGTTTCCTTTGTTTTGTTAGTGCTTGTAGAGAACATGACAACTTACTTTCACGTCACGTTGGTCCTTGGTGCGCACAATAACGTAGGTGCAACACACGAGTTGCTTAACAGCACTCCATAAGCAAAATGGCGATCACACACCTGCCGCCTGCGTGCTGGTTTATCTCCCAGATTACACAATCCAGCTCCCATCCGATGATGATCGCCGCAGCGTTTTGCTTCACTAGCCTGATGTTGTTGTTTTCCAAGAGACACCTGTTCATGAAGCTTTTTACCGTGTGCTGCATCATAAAAATCGCTCGGTCTTGATAACTCTCGATTATGACCCAGTGGCCGAGAAAATACGCTGACTGAAGGTCCCAAAGCTGCTAAGCCACTGACACATACTAGTAGAGCAGTCACCCTTAACATGGAATCAGAAGCTGTAGTGTAGTTGCCTGTATAACATGGGTATGCTTCCTCATTACACAGACTCTTATGCCTATTTTCATAGCCGGGTACCTCCGTTTACTAATCTACCTTAAGGTGAAGACTACCAACCTTGTTGTTGCAGGGAAGGGATGAAGCCTTTTCTGCTCACCTCTCTTTTTTTAAAAGCTATAATAAATAAAAAGGGAAAGGAAAAGAAAAGGTTGAACTGTTGAATGTTTTCTGTTGATTTTTGAGAAAATTCAACGTCAGAAGATAATAGGGCAACATAATGACTGTGCAATAGTTTTCTCTCATTGTTTCAACCCTGAAGAATAAAAATTAGAACAGCCTTCTTTATCTCTCTTGTCTTGTTGAGGACGCTAACACTAGTTTATGTCTGATGTCTGCTATGATGTGTTCCGCTAATGAAAATTTCCCAACAATATAGCTTCTCCCGAAGTTAAGCCTTTGAGAATCTACAGGATACCTATCCACGGTTTGAGCAGATCTTCTAACCCGGATCCTACTAGAACCAGTTCTCCTCCAGTTTGGAAGTCAGTTGATGCAAAACTTGCTGTAAGTTTAACCAAATATTTGGCGTGGTACAATTAAATTTTTTCTAGGTACCAGATCAACCTCGGGTATCCAGAAGCGCCACTAGCTCTCCGGTACCACCAGTGAGGGCCAGATTACAGGCGGCACTCAAGTGATAGTCGTTTGCTTTGTACCGTCTTAGGCAGCTGGATGAATGAGTGTAACAACTTAAAAGGTGATCAAAACAAGTAGTAAGCTATTTTGGTCGCCTTTCAAGGAGTAAATTTGTAGCAAGTAGAAATGTAAATATTTTTCGGACCAAATTAGTCCCTTTATAAAATAATATTTTGAAACATTTAAATATGTACCTTACCTTTTTCTACTGATATACTATGTCTAAAAAAAAAAATATTGAAATTGGGCTGGCTCACAAAATGATATTGCATTTGGACCAGCATTAAAAAAAAAATATATTGAGATGTTATACACCTACATTATAAGAATTTAGATTTATTGTACCTATGTATCTCTTTTTTATTCACCCAAGCAAGTGAGACCGTACTTACCCCTATATTAATTTGTAGAAATATATTTATATTAATATATTATATTAGTAAACGTTCTTTAGAGGAACAACATATTGTGCAGTAACCTTTTTCGATTGAATTATAAGTCCAAGAGCCAGCAATATTAACAGGTATTTGATCGTTCCTTCAAATATTTTCCACATATAGAACAAACTCGCTAACAGTCACCTCAAAACCGAATGGTAGGTTGCCTGCGCTGGGACTCTAACGAATAGAGATATTTTCTCTATCTCTATTGACGTCTCCTCTCTACCGATTTTGACAAGAAAGAAAAAGACAGCAAGTGCCATAGCGATAAGAATAACCATCTCTATCCAGTACAGAGTTCCAACCCTGTATTCTCATGGCCGTGAAGTTTTCTTATAAACAAATTATTTTTAGTAGTGTAGACCAAAGCCGTGTATAGAGTGGTGAACTTGAGGTAATCATCCATTCGGTTTAGAGGTGACTGTAATAATAGCTCTCGTTTTATGTTGGAACGATAGATCATAGTAATGCCGGCTTTCCAGCTATAAGTTTATCACAAAATAAATACCTACATAAAATAATATTTTTGTACAATAGAAAAAACTCATGTGTCTGTTATGACAGATTCTTGACTTGATGGACTACTTTTGTAAAAAAATTATCTATCACGTACTATCATGCATATTGTACTAGTACCTACACTTCAATGATTTTAATTGTATTCTGTACATTTGTTTGCGTAATGCACATCTATACTACCAAAAGTTTTTCAAATTTAATTCAGTAGAAAACCTTTGATGTAAAAAATATTTTCACGCTTCAACTACATGATATTTATCAGAAAATATCGGGTCTTCAAGAAAAACCCATCAGAGATTGCTATGGTTTTTTAAACATATGTCCTAGCAATATTTGTCTTTAATTTTATCAATGAGCTTTGATGTCAAAAATCCTGACCAATAAAGAAACTCTAATGCGACGTACGTTTTCGTAATCAAAGCAATTTTCGATTTTTTCTAGAAGACCCGATATGTTCAAATGAAAAACTTCTCTGTGGGATCCGCTATGCATAAAGGCTGTACCCACTAAGTACTCTGAGCTTTTATTAGGAATAACCTTATTGTAAATATATTGAATAACATAGATATTTATGAATATTCTAATAAAATATACCCACTACAGAGGCAGAGCAAAGTTTGTTAAAATAAATTAAGGGATTAATTCATTAATTTAACATTTCAACTCGCACATCTTCTTAATGTCAAAGTTTGGGCAAAATGCTGAAATACATCAATATTATAGGTATTAACTTCTGCTTATATCATTCTATAGAAGTGCGCCTTCCGTATTCATACTCTATTATTGTCCTTTATGTAGTCATGCCAAGTCTTGTCTAATATCTCCGGTGTTTCTCCTTTTTGCTTTTTTTGTTGCTACTCTTATCTTCCATGCTCATGCCAATGCAGAACAGTGAATAAGCATAATGAAGGTGTTCTGTACTAGCATTTGATACATTCGTAGTCTGAATAGTCTGAAATAAATGTGGTATTTGAGATATTCCAAAGCGATACAGTGAGCTTTCTGGGGGAGGATAATCTTTTCATCTAATAAAATATTTTCTACATATGTACGTCTGATCACAAATGCGGTGGAGTTGGTTAATTATGGGCAGAATCCTGTTTATCGACATCATCTTTGAACGCAAGAGACCGGATTCTATCTCAGATCAACAGTAATATCGGTATAGCCGATGAAGGATTCGGATTTTGTTGGTATGTCAAAACACACTTGAAAGTCCAAGTGCAGATCTCTGTTTGACGCCACTTCCGACTTCTCTTTCCCAAAACCTAAAGCAACCCTAACTTTCTAGGTGAGTAAAGATCTTTTTCAATCAATTTTATCCATTGGCTTTGGATTATTATGATGTCGCTTCCAGTCGTTCAAGCATGAGCTAATCGATTGTTTGGGCGTGTTTCTGGAATGAACCCACTTTGTAGTTTGAAGGATAAAGTCTGTTAGCTCTCTTGCTATCATCTTCTCCATACTGTTCGACGAGGTTAATGTTAGTAGAATTTATTCACTTATGTCCGTTAGAATATTTTTTAAAAATTTGCAAGATAATAGGGGTATTCTTTCGATTTAACTGAAAGTGATTTTTATTTTTACATCACTTCGCTAATTTCTGTTGCATCAAAAGAACGAAAATCTATATCAGCTGATTTCAACTCATAAATGATCTGAAAGAAGTGAACGTAAAAATTCTGCGATCACTTGGGGTTAGGATTAAACTGATTGCAATTATTTGGTGGGTATAGTGGGGGAAGTGATCCGAAATCGGAAGAACACGGTTCAATCAGTTCAGGTGACTTCAATCAGTTTGTTCAGAACGAAAGAATACTAGGAATTTTGTATATAGAAAAAACGGCATTCATATCATCACTCGATTTTTTTTTAATGTCAATAAAATTATAAGGGGAATCCGTAAAGTTTCCTTTGAAAAGTTCGGAAAAAACGGGTCACAACGATGGTTTCAAATATGGGATTTTCCCAGAATATCAACCAAACTAAATTTTATAATATGTGTAAATTAGTATCTTCACTATTGAAAACTCATAAGTTTTTCTTTGTATAATGGTTCTTCCTTGCAATAAATATATTGTTGACTTGTCTGATTCAAATTTAACCAGCAATGTGGAAAAAAAATTATGTCAAATCAAATTTTACTTATAGTTAAGCAGACAAATCATGCTTCATTTGTATATCAAGATAATATTTATATAACATAGATTGTAAGAGTAAAGTTATAGGTACTGCATATAGAATTCTGCAAAAAAGATCTTTATTCATTGTTAGACATTTAAATATTTATCATGCTTGCTAGATCAAGACTAGTGATCAATAATTAATAATTTCTCCACTTCATTATAAAACTGCACCCCCAGACATTATAAAAATATATATGTTTCTAAATTAAAACTAACCAAGTCAAACTTAGCTTAACTATCTAAACTGGTTTAAGTATTTGTAGATGGCAACTAAAGTTTGTATAAATATTTTTAAACTGGACTTTTCTGTGATAAACAATTAAATGTCAAAAATTGTATCAATTTAAGAACTAATATTTAATAAACCAAAATCTAAATAAAATAATATAGATATATTTTATTTAATCACATCCCCTTTCCCAACCATATCCCGCGGAATAATATACCTAATGATCATGGAAGGATGTGCTTACCTTACCCACTTTCGGCCAAGCAGATGTAATATTGCTGACCCCCGACATGCAGGATCCACCACGTAGGTACTTGACATTTCCATGGTCATTGCATATCGGATGAGGATGAGACATGTGACGCAACAACTCAGCTTTTTAATTCACAACAAAACTAATAGAAGCAAAAAACGAATTACAAAGTTAGGCTAAAATATCTAAGAAGATGATAGATTTATTGTTGATATGATGATAGTTGAGGCAGAATATTCGCCAATCCAACATATCGCTCCAAGTATAAAAAAATGTGAACAGCTACCATCAATAATTAATCTTATGGTAAGTCCTTGAGGCTGCAATACTGCGAGGGAAGCATGTAATATGTATTAGTGCTTGGGGAACTGTGAAATATGTCCGCAGGCAATTTAGCTGGCTAGCTTAGGAAGAAAATTGAGTCTAACCTATTAAGGCAGGGGGAGGGGTAAAGCCAGGACCTGAGTGCCCAGGACTCTCCAAGTGTACCTATGTTTGAAAAAACTAGAAATTTTACTTCAAAAGATTACACTTGACTTTAACATTTCGACAAGTTTAAAGCTAGGCTGTCTCAACTGATTTTTTTTCTCCTTGTTCCAGGCCTGTCCGACTTATTGTCTCCATGCAGCACTGAAGCCTGAGAAGGCTTATTGTACTTAGCCTGTGTGGTTTATTCCAACCATTCCAGTATTTCTATGCCTTGTACGAGGTTGTACAGGTCTTTTACTGGGCGATGTTTCATTATTGTTTCCTAGTCTACGTTCGGTTGCCCGAAAATGCTGTGTCTTCTACGATCTAGTGCCTCGCAGTTCACCAGGATGTGTCTGGATGTCTCGGGTTCCTTATTGCAGAGTCTGCAATTAACGTCTCCGTCGTATAGGTTCAGCCTGTTTAGGTGGACCTTCACTGGTGTGTGGCCAGTCAAAAGTTCCATTATGGTTCTTCTCATTTATAACACTTCTGCGGCCCTTTTGCTGCATGGTTGGTCGATGAATTCCCTACCATGATTCTGCCTGAAAGTAGTCCAGTGTCGCAGATGTTCTTTACGAATCCAGTCTTTGATGAGGCTTCTGGTCATACTTTTTGGTATTCCTAGAGCCGGTTCTGGCCCGATAAGTTTTGTCTCTGACCGTCTCTTTGCGAGTTCATGAGCCATTGCCTTTGATTCCTCTGTGTCCTGGCACCCAGATAAGTTTTACTTTATTCTGGTCCGCCAGGGCCCTGAGTTCTTCCTGGCATTCCCATACTAGTCTTGATGACACTGTCTGGCTCGAAAAGGCCTTCAGTGCCGCTTAACTATCAGACATTATAAGGATATGCCTGTTGGCTGTGGCTCTCCTGTTGTTCTCCGCTGCGCATTGGAGTATAGCGTATACCTCTGCTTGAAAAATAGAAGCATGTCTTCCCTGTGCATAGTGATCGCTATAGTTGGCGGAGTATACTCCTGCTCCGGTACCAGATGCGGTCTTCGATCCTTCTGTGTACCAGGTCTGGTCTAGTTTTTTGGTCATCAGTATGCCCTGTTCCCATTCAGTTCTGCTCACCTCGAATGGTCTGCTCAGGCAGAGTAACGGGTCCTCATGTTGAAAATCTCTTCCCCCACGAGTTCTACGATTGCCATATTTCCCGTCCTTTTATTGGTGGCCGTTGTCGGCTGCAGTCTGTACGCTCCCATACTTGCCTCCTCCTGTATCAATATGTGTAGAGGTGGGAGGTCTAGGAGGGTCTCCATGGCTGCTGTTGGTTTGGATCGCATTGATATTCCTGAGCAGGCTAGTCTTTGCATTTTGCTTAATTGGCGTATGGCACTTCTCTGAAGTGTTTTGGGCCACCACACCAAGGAGGCGTATGTCAAGATAGGTTTGACCATCTGTTACCGCCGCCAATTGGATATGACACGCGAGTAAGGGAGACTTTGTTTTAGAACTGGTAGAGACCTTTTTGTACTGCGGTAACGTGCCACCAGGGACTTTGTTTAAAGTCCCACTGAAAATCTAGGTAACTTTGAGCGGATACTTTCTAGTAATCTAATTAGATAGCGGGCTCTTGCTACCTGAGCTGTACGCAGTTAGTTGGCATACTAGCTCGGGGTTTTCCAAAGGAAATAAAAAAATCAGTTTTTCTTACTAAACTCTAACAATGGTTTATTAAACAAATGGTAAATTTTGGTAAGGAAATGAAAGTAAAGCAAAGAATATACAGTAGGTTATTAACAATGTTTAATGGAATGAAATGAGAGAAAATACATACGGAGATTTGGAATGATAGGGAGTGAAATCAGTGAGCGTCCTGTATAGGGCGTTCCTTGATGGTACAAGTTACATGAGAAATTAAAGATTAAAAGATACAGAAAATAAAGACTAGGTTATAATTCTTAGTGGGTAAAAGTCACGGGCATCCTCGACAAGGGAATGACAAAACGACCTTGTTATTCAGGGTAAGATACATGTTGGAAAAGAGATTTAAGTTGTGAAGCTAACCCAATGGTTTGCTTCTTTACACAGCGGAGAAGATAAATAATAGACAGAAAACAATAATCATGATCATTAGCCATTTCGTGTCCTTAGTTTGAATGATGGTGGATTTCGTGGGTTATAGGACGGGACAAACAAGAAACTACCAGATGTGTGGCAACGTTTCGGTTTTAATTAAACCTTTTTCAAGCCTCAATCTCCTGTTTCGTAAGTCCGTTAGGGATGGAACAAAGCACCTTCGTCATTGGAAAGCAGTGAATTATTTTGTTAAATAAGTATTTTTGAATAATTTTTATATAATTTTATAATTCGTACTTAGAGGTTATGTCATTCATCTAGATGAATGACATAACCTCTAAGTACGAATTATAAAATTATATAAAAATTATTCAAAAATACTTATTTAACAAAATAATTCACTGCTTTCCAATGACGAAGGTGCTTTGTTCCATCCCTAACGGACTTACGAAACAGGAGATTGAGGCTTGAAAAAGGTTTAATTAAAACCGAAACGTTGCCACACATCTGGTAGTTTCTTGTTTGTCCCGTCCTATAACCCACGAAATCCACCATCAATAATCATGATGAATAAATTAAAATACTTGAAATTGAAACATTACCCAAGGTCTCGGAAACAGAGTCAGCAGAAAGACGTGAACACTAAACACCAGAACTTCGTAACCGAACTGAATGAATCTACTAGATTCGCCAGCTTATTTATATTGGCAGCTTGATGACGCTTTCAGGATTCTTATCGGTCGGAAAACATGCGGTTTTTTTTCATGGAACCATGAGTCGAAAGTCGTATTTTAAGACATAATCAGGACACTATTTCGGGATTCGATTGATAACCTTTTGATTCTTGACATGGTTTCGTCAGTTTAGCGGATTAATCTCGTTGGGAAATAACCAATTAATTGTATTACGAAGTTAAATAAAATAGTATATTACATACCGAGGTGGGAAGTGTTTCATTACTGTCGAGAGATTAGTTAGTTAACTGAGACGCGAAGCGTCGAAGTTAACTATAACCTCGAGACAGGAATGAAACTTCCTATCGAGGTTTGTATACTAATTTATTTACAACAATTACAACCATTACAATTTTGACTAAATATTTTTAAAAAATTAAAAAATTTTATAGACAAGTTCTGACTTATCTAAAAAAACGTTTGACATGTAGGACTGGTCTTCAACATTTTAGGAAAATAGGACTTACTTTCCACCCGAGTGGAAAGTAAGATTGAAAAAAGTGTCACTTTCAAACTTTTGAAAAGTCAGAAATGTCAACATTACCTATGTGGTTGTAAATAATAGTATATTACATACCGAGGTGGAAAGTGTTTCATTACTGTCGAGAGATTTAAGTTAGACCGAGGCGCTGCCGAGGTCTAACTGAAATCTCGAGATAGTAATGAAACTTTTCACCGAGGTATGTATACTATTTTATTTACAATCATTCGAATTTTGAAATTTTCATTTGGATTAAAGCTAAAAAATACAATAAATTTCATTTACTTTCGGCCCGCGGGTCGAAAGTAAACTTTCGACCCGTGGGCCGAAAGTAAAAGTCAAAAAAGTGACATTTTCGAACTTTTTAAAAGTCAGTAAAGTCAACATTACATGTATGATTGTAAATAAAAGATTTTTAGGGCCGTTTTGTTACACATCATGTTGTATGTCCAATACAGCATGTCCGGTCTTAAGCGCCATAATTTTCCATGCAAGTCTCTATCATGAGTGATGTTACCGCTTTTTTGGTGGTGTTTTCCAGATGTTGATTCAAGGTAAGTTTTGAGGGCAGTGTTACCCCCAAGTTCTTGACCTGGCTCGAAATCTATATATTTTCACCACTTAATCTAAGAAGTCACAGGTCTATTTTATGCCTACAGGTAAATGTCACGATTGTGGATTTGTTGGGACTAATGTTTGTTTACTACTGAACTACGTCTGTCTCTTTCCAATCCACTGTCAGTAGAGGTAGATAATTCCTTCTGCATCATAGGTTTCACCCCGTGGGTGGGTGCGAGAGAGAGCACTATACACCGTCTCTGTGGGTGTGAGAGAGAAGGCACAATGTCAGCACTTTAAATGTCAGTCGTCGCCTGCGCCCTCTTTCCACCATCACTCGTACTATCAGCCATCGACTGTAACTCTCGTTAGACAGTAGCGCAACCTATCCTAAGTCAGTCGCACCACCTCCTGTGATTAGCCATTCGCGTACCATCTACCGTATGTCATTCGTGAGCGCAGGAATCTATAATTTTCTTGCCTTTCAAATAATTAAAAATACGAAAAAATGTCTTTATCAGCCGAAACAGCAATTAAGGTCAGGGCAAGGCAAGAGAGGAGCATCAATAAGAAAAAGCCAGTGCTGATCATCTGTACAAATACTCATTAGGATTACTTCTCTATCCACACAACTTGTTGTTCAGCATATCCGAGGGCACAGTGTCCTCCGTCAGTGAGCAGGTTAAGCAGGCCGTCCGCCACTAGATTCCAGGGCCGCCGAGAGCCAGGTCGGGCAACGGGCAAAAAAATAATAATAACGGGCCCTTTTTTTTTTTGTTCTCCCAAATAAATAATAACGGGTTTCCCTTTTTTTTTTGGTCCCCATCATAAAAAATCCGGGCCCCGGGAATTTGTCCCGTCTACCCCCCCCCCCCCTCTTGTCGGGCCTGCTAGATTCCACAGGAGTGGGGATAATAACCCGCCCTGTGGGCATCACCTGTACACCCTGGCCGCCAGTGTCTCCTCTGTTATGGTGGTTTCTGCCATTCTTTCTCTTAGCATGGAGTTGATCCACACACAGCAGGTGTCCTCAACTCCCTTGTGCTTGAGAGATCTGGTTATTGAATCGAAGGAAGTGTTGCCAAAAGCTCCCTCTATATCTAAGAATGGACCCAGGATTACCTCTTTGTTTGCCAGTGTGGTCTCCACCATGCTCACCAGCTGGTGAAGTGCTGTTTCTGTTGACAGCTCTATCCGATACGCATATTGGTCCTGGTGTAGTGGTCTGTTTGCCTAAAAACCGTCCCTTATGTCTATCCACAAGTTTTTCTAGTGTCTTAAGCTCAAATGATGTAAGACTAATGGGTCTTAGGGACTTCGCGGCATCCTGTCCTATTTTTCCAGGTTTTGGTATGAACGATAACCTAATGCGCCTCCAGGCCTTTGATACATAGCCAGAGGCTAGGCTACTTCTTAGAATGTTACATAGGATCCTGTTCGCAAGTTCAGTTCCGTTCGGTAACGTTATGGGATAGATACCATCTGTCCCTGTTGACTTATATGAATCAAAGGTGTTTATAGCCCATTTGACTTTTTTACTACTACTTTCTTCGAGGTCAGCCAGTCGTTCTTGGATACTCTTCGAAGTATAGGCTCATTCCATGTCCACTAAGTCTGATCAACTATCTTTGAGCCGGGAATGTGGGTTCTTAGGCGTTCCCTAGCCGTCTCCTCCTTGGTCTTTGTGTATTCACCAAAGTTGTTCTTGAATGATCTGATTGTTGTATTCAGGCCCTTTGACAGAGGTCTTTGTAGTCTAGCACAATCTTGAATACATTCTATATCCTCACAGTACCTGCTTGCTCCAAGATCTCCTATGGGATCCCCTCAGCTCTTTCTTTAACTTTTTCAACGTGGTTCAGTATGTTTCCCACTGCCCGGTTCTCATGGCTTTATTGAATTCTGTTCTATTTTTTTCCTTATCTTTGCATGGCTCTCGTTCCACCAGAGCACTTTCCTGGTGGATGTCCCGGTTGTAAGTGGGCAATTCTCATTGAAGGCTGAGATGATTGCATCATTGAATTGATCCACAACCATCTCCAAGTCTTCAATGTGTTTTATTGTCTTCCTGATGTTGGGCAGACTGCACTCCAGGTTACTGAAGTTGTTTTCCCTGAAATTTCAAATTTGATGTATCTGTGATCCAAGTAGCTTCTCTGAATAAGGGAGGAAACCTTATTCTTTGAATAACTCAAAAGTCTGCAATAAAATTGCTACGGCTTAAGCAGCAAGTATGCCAGTTAGTTACTGCAATCAGGTCCATGTTGTGGCTGTAGTGATTTCAATATTGAATTGCTTCATTATTAAGGTCAGGCGTCCATTAACCAACCAGTTATGAATGTTGAGCTATAAAAATAAAAAAAGGGCGAAAACAAATTTATAATTGTAAGTGTCGACCGAGTCTTCTCGGGTAATTTTAATATCTTCATCGATAGACGCCATGAGACATTCTTACTTTGTCTAAAACTGGGGTAACAAATCTGTTCAGGTGGTGATTTATATGTTAGCTTTTCAAGTGACACAATCCAAAAAAGGGTTCTAGATATTCTAGCACCTAAGTTACCCATAATTTTAAATATTTCTCATTGAAACCTACTCGTATAGAGTCATATAATATTACTATAAGTAGCAGTAAAACAAATTATATTTTAACTAGTAATTTTTGTAATGTTGACATGGTTGAAGCAAATATAGCGGATCATCTTGCTGTTATGTAGATATTGGAACTGTTTAGGGTAATGAAACTTCAAAAACGCATAGTAAAGAAGATTCTACCAACTATGTCAGTTTTCTTACAATGGAGTTTTCCACGAATCCACTCGGCAAAAATAACATTGGCTCGGCTTTGGGAAGCTTTAGGTAAGTACATCCACTATTGCTTGGGGTCTGGAGCTACATTGCCCATTAAGAAAATCCAAAGGTAAGAACAACAATAAATGCTGGATTAATGATGAAGACATTCACATCTTGAATCTTTGTTTTGGTTAAAGAAAAATATAAAATGTCCTTATTTTGGAGAATAATGAAAAAAAAAATAAAAAAAAAAAAATAAATAAATAAAAAATTCATAACCGTGAAAGCTGGTCCGGATTAGAGGTATTCTAAGTACAAAACAATTTAGTCAATAATCATACACTTTATTTCCATTTGATTTACTTAAAACAACCACTTCGATGCAATCGTCTTTTTATTGGACATAACAAAAGCCCTTTTTTAAGATTCCTCACAGATCCTTGTATAAAGCATTATTACCATATGAAACGGCATATTAGAAACTTTCAAATCCAAACGCCACGTAAGTATATGAAAATTAGAATAAATCCTACGTGTTACGTGTGTAAACTGTAGAAAAATAAAAATTACCAGGAGAATCGTATAAAAGAGGCAGGATGCAAGAAGCTGGATCACAAACATCTTGGGGCTTTCACAAGAAACATGAAGCCACAGCAAAATAAACCCAACATTTTTGTAACTGTTTTATTTTTTGTAATTTTAAGCGATATTTTAGTGTCAGGGTGTCTCATAACCAATTGCCCTAGGGGCGGTAAAAGATCTGGTGGAAAATATGGAATTGCACTAAACAACATAAAACAAGTAAGATTCGAAAACTTTTTTTTTTGTAGTTATTTGAATAAATATTTTTCAAGTGTATTCCTTGTGGCCCTGGTGAAACAGGTCAATGTTTCGGTCCATCAATTTGCTGTGGCCCTTTTGGCTGTCTCATGGGAACCCCTGAAACTATACGGTGCCAAAGAGATGGCGCGTTCCATACCAGAGAACCTTGTGTGGCAGGATCTGCTAATTGCAGAAAGAATACAGGAAGATGTGCCGTGGAAGGGATATGTTGCAGCCAAGGTAATAATTTGTTGGTTTTCGGGACAGTTGATGTTTGAAATTATTTTCCAGATTCTTGTCATGCAGATAAACAATGTCTATTGGACGACAAAAAATCAGTTACGGAAAATTTGTCTGCAGTGGAACTGTTTAATTTTTTAGGATACCAAAACGATGTTGGACTCGATGAATAAACTAATTTGTATTAATAAAGTATAGAAAATGGGCTATATGTACCTACCTATTTAGCTGGAAATTGTGTTTTCTTTTGACCATATTCGTTCAAAACAAAGGGACAAAAAGCTCCACCTGGAATTAATTCTTCCGGCAAATGTCCAAGAAAAGCTCCAAGGCCATAACTAACTTCCATTTATCATTAATGACATTTTATTTCTGGGTAAAAATGTATTAATGATAAACTTTTGTTTGAAACAATCATAACTTGAGTCTTTATTCCTTCCAAATCCGTATGACCAGAAATAGTGCTCTACTAAGAAAACTGTTTCTTAAGTTGAAGGATACATAATGACGAAGATTTTAACCTTAACTTAATTTCAACCTCATAACTAATGCCAAGTAAGCAAAATATGATAAATGCAATTTACGTACGCAATTCCTCAGAGCTCTAGATTTCGGTACTGTTTATTTTGGCGGATACCGTAATAGTAATAGGTATCTTTATTGTGTTAATGTATCAGGTTTTACAGTCTATGTCAAAGAAGCAAAGAAGTCAATTTTCAACTGTCAATATTTATGAAACAGTTGAAGATAGGTATATGACATTGTACATGGAATATGTCTAGAAATTTCCGCAGAAACCAGAAATGTCATAATATACAGGGAGAGTCATTTAAAAAAAAAACATAACTTTGTGTCACCACTCTTTATTGGGCCACCCTATATACTGGAAAATAATTTAGGAATGTAGTACTCATGTTTATCTACAAGTTCTGTATTTAATTTTTTCTCCGATCTCCGTTAGTATAGGAGATATGGACCACCGCGCGCTCAGTAACTCATCCTGTACTATAATTTGCTTATGGAGTTTAGATGCCTTTCCACGCCATTCTGACGTTATGTCTTGAGCTAGATTTCTCAAATTTGGAATAGTTGTTCTTTGGAATACTGGCTAGAATCTAAAGGAGCCAGATTTTTCAATTTCTATCTAGAAAAAAATTGAGGCAAAAAATGAGTTTTAGCGCGGACTTTTCGCGCGTTTTATCTCTGATCCCACGTCGAAGTTGAACCCCATCCACGTTCGTCGCGTCTTCGCACAGAGACAGTGTTGCCAAATAATTCTTCAGTAAAAAAAACGAGAAATTGAAATTGACCACTAAAAAAAAGGTCAATTTTAAATTGCCTGGCAGAGACAGGCCTATTAACGGTATTATTATAAAACTGAATTTATGACACGAAAAAAGACTTCAACACTGAAGCAATGAATTCCAAAAATCAACGAGCGGCTTCGCTGACTAATATGGGCACCTGCTAGTTTTCAGTTTTAATGTGAAAAGTTTTTGGTATTCCAAGGCAAATCAAATCTATTTGGACCAACGTAGATTAAATTTTCAACACGTCCGACATGAACTTTATAAATGCAAAAATATTTATTGTAAACAAACCAAAGTATTTCTCTAATAATATCTAGGTATAGATATGTACTTATTTAGGTAGTAATCTTAACTCAATTGATTTTAAAAGAAACAGTAGGTAAAGTTTGTTTCTCCAGGGTTTGTACCTGCCACCAGCAATTGCCTTCCTTGTTTAACAAATAGAAATTGACTGAAACAAATCAATAACGTCAAAAACGTTCGTCGGTTCTAAAGCCTAGTTCTCATGGTGCGGGATTCCGCATTGCGGGTCCGGAAATCGCAATTTTTTGAAAATCGTAATTTTTGATGGTTCACATGAAACGGAATTCCGGATGCGGTTTTATGTCAAATACATGTGATCTTAACCTAACATATTTTTTGTTTTTGTTTTCCTGTGTGCCTGGATGGATAATTATATTGCACAATTAAATTATTATCAATGGAAAAGACAGAGGGAGGTATGAAAAAAAACAAAGTATCTGCTACTACGACAAGTAGTAGTATATTCTTCGTAGTGTTTACTTTAAAATGAAGTAGATACTACATTTCGAAACTACCGGAAATTAGTAAATCCTTTGTTGTGAAGTAAATACTTCGTAGAATATACTACTACCTGTAGTAGTAGCAAAGTACTTCGTTTTTATTCAGACTACCACCGAATATACGTTAGTATTGGGTTTGTTATTTATCCATAATATGCATGAAACTTCATCAAAGAAGCAGAATAGCAGAGGAATATTAAAAAAAGGAAGATGTTGTTCAGAAATATTCTTCTGAAAAGGCATGAACAAGGGGTTTGCCGTAATAATATGTATTTGAAAATAAAACAAGCACATACAAGCATGCAGATCAATTTATTTTTGTTAGGTATTAATTGTTTTTGTTTTTTGTTTGAGGTTAGTTTATTTGTTTATGTAGAAATCAAACAAAGATGAGAAATGTTTAGACAAAGACAGAAAAAAAAATCGCAAGAAAGTTGAAAATGGTTCAACTTTATTGCGGATCCGCAAAAAAGTTGACGTTTTCCCGCCAACGGAATTATTTCAAAAATTCCGCACCCGCAATCCGGAATTCCGCATCATGAGAACTAGGCTTAAAACCAGAAGTCATTCATTTTAATTTGTCAAAAAAATTGAATGTGTCATATGAAATAATCTACGACAACCCTTTTTTTCCAAGTTTCAAGGTCAAGTATGAACCCTGGTGAAACGAACTTTAGGTACTTGAACATGAAAGGTTTACGTAGTGTCACGGTGTTTGGTAAATTTTTTTCAAAAAAGTAAATTGCAGTAATTTGTTGCATCTAAAAATTAATAATTTCAATCAATTGCTAAAAAAACTATGCCTGATAATGGTAGGTCCTTTTTTTAGAAATTCCAGCTCCACTGAACGTAAATGACACAATATAATATATCAAAATAGTGTTACGTTTATCGTTTATTAAACCAATCTATTCGTAATAAGGCTGATGAGTTGAAGATATTTCTAGATTCACAAAATAATCCATGTTTTGTGCTGATTACTGAACATTGGTTAAAGCCATGTCAGCCTTGCTTTATTCCCAATTACTTGGTGTCCAGTGGCCACACTGTTTTGTCGTGTCGTAAGGATGCTGGGTATGGTGGTACAATAGTACTAATAAATAAGAAAGTGTCTGATAGTTTCCCTGTTGTAGGTGTTACACGGTCTGTCTTCATCCAAGTGGATGGCGAATTCGAATTTTCATTGGTTCATTACAAAAAGTCAAACATCTACATTTTCTGTATAAACCAGAGATAAATACTATATGAACTGTCGAGAATGGAATCTCAGTGTAAATTTTTTTGTCAACAAAATTGAGCCAAGCCAACGCCATCTACTATATTGGAAATATTACTATCTACTGGTTTTGCATCGACGCTACAGACACCTATTTTACATAGTGCTTTAAGACATTTTTATGATAGATGGGGCCCTGTTCGCATTACTGTCGGGCTGTTCAAATTTCTTTATTCTAGACTTTGGGACATTAATTTTTGCTTAAATTAATTGACTTTTTGTTAGATTAGATCAAAAGACAGTTTCTTTATCGATGGTTAAGGGTATCCTGGTATTTATCTAATCAACAAAGATAAAAATAGATCTTCCAATCTATAAAGTTTGAAGGTCTTCGTGAAACATACAAAACAACTTTGAAATCACCTAAAACACTTGACAACACAAAGAAAAACGAAATGCTAGACCGGCGAACGAAAAACATTATGAATTATTAGTTATTGGTATCGGGTCTTCCAAAAAAAAAACAATCGAAGATTGCTATGGTTTTCTAAACGTATGTCTTAGCAAAATGTTTCTTTCATTTTGTCAATGAACCTAATGTCAAAATGGCATGTCAAAAATCCTGACCAATAAAAAAACAGTAATACGACGTACGTTTTCGTAATCAAGGCAATCTTCGATTGGTTTTTTTTTTGAAGACCCGATATAAACAGACCACCCTCTGAAGCTCAATTTCAGATTTTTTAATTAGATTAGAAACCCTATTATCATATTTACCAGTAAATGCCAAAATTCTTTTAGCTGTTGATTTTGACATAAATTTTATTGATAAAGAATCCACGCATGTTCAGGATTTGTCTACTTTGTTTCGTTCTTTTGACTAAAATATTGTTTGCCCAGCGGATCTGAGTCTACGGAAGGAATTCGGACGTAAATGTGCCATGTTGTCACGTTTAATTATTAAAAAGCGAAAATACCAGGCATGAATAAGTATAGTTCATTTGAAAATCCATTTTTTAATAACAAAATATAGATACCAATAAAACGCTAAATATTTCAACGTGGTTGTTAGATCTATTCTTATTCTAATAACTGATTTCTTCAATTTTGTCCATTGTAAAAAATAATCATTTTCTAAAGATACCATCAATTTTTGACAATTTGGCAAGCATCCGGCCTGGATGAACCTGATTGGTGGAGTTTTTGGCAGGATGGCCGTTGCCACGGGGAACCATGTCGTTGTCAATGGGCTAACGTCACCTTACGTCTCGCTATTGGCCAGGGCTTCCGTCATTGTATCCTCCCATCTTGGAATATCGATTTATATTGAAATATCCAGTGGCGAGGGTTTGGTCATTTTCGATTTTCGTGTAGGAGTTGCAATACGATAACACTTCCAAAAAATTCCGCACGCAGCTGGGTATTTTATGAATGAAATCAGCCATTTTTTTTACAACTGCATTCCCCTAACCGTTGCCCCGCAGACACTAGTCGCTGGGCAGACATTATGTTTGTTGAATAGCCAAACCGGCAGGCATATTCTCTATGAACAGCAATTACATAGCAACCAGCAACCGGTCGCAAGTTGCTTTTTTTGAATAGAAAACTCGCGTTTGACAGCGACTTGACAGCAACTATTGCGCAATTCTCTGCGGTCGCAAGTTACAGAATAAGGCTGCGGATTACTAATATTTCTGGCACCATTATAGATTATTTTTGTACAAATAATTTTATTAAAGAACATGTTGGGGTATCTGTCGTTACATCGGCACTCTGATCATGAAGCAATAAGTTTAACTGTGAAGAAAATAAAATAGATTGGCAAAAAAATTTTGATTGCTCTGATCCTATGTATATTTTCAATCAAAATATAATAAACCTTTTCAATAACATTTTTCCTTTGA